GGGGGGAGGGACAGGCATGGCAGAGCCGTGCTGCTGCTGACCCAGCTGCGGATCGATCCCCATGCCCTCCACTCCCAGGAGGACAGCCCTCATGACAGACACAGCCTCCAACAGACAGCAGCTCTTCAGCCGCAGAGGACGATCAGCCAGCGGGAAGCGGGCTCAGGCAGGGGAGGGATCCACCCACCCCACAGAACCTTGACAATTGGCCACTGAGCCAGGCTAGGGGGGCTGGGATAGAGGACAAGACCTGAGCACATCAAGAACACAAAAGACCCAAGTGCCAAGAGACACAGGGGGCCAGAAGCTCTGGGTGCCCTGGTAAGGCTGCAAGCTGAAGCCACTAATGGGCCAGTGCCCCAGATTCGCATGGGCTAAGGCAGCGTGAGCCCGTCTGCTTCAGCTCCGTGCTGCCCGAAACACTGCAGAAACCCAGCATCTCCCCACTGCACGGGGCCAGGTTTGGACTCAGCTCTACTCCATCCTGGCTATTGCATTCCCCTCCAATTAAGCAACAGCATCCCCAGCACTGGGTTGCATTAAATAATTAAATCATGCCGGTGATTTATCCGCCAGCACCAGCAGCTCATTATGAGCAGCTACCGTATTTCAAACCCCTCTCAGCGAGCACTCAGTGCTGCCTGGATAAATGGCTGGCAAGGATCGTCTCCTTCCCCCTCCCCAGATCTGCCCGCAGGCCTTGGGGAGCGTGAGAGTCGAGAGTCGAACCTCCCCTTCCCCACTTGCTTGCTTTAAAGGGATTAAAAAGCCCAGCCCCACTGAACACGGGAGAGCAGGACCCAGCTGCTGGCTCAGCCATGCCAATAAATAATTAAAGAGATGTGGCTCATTTTGGGCTTAAGGCCCTTTGAAAAAGGGGTTACTAAAAGAAGCAGCTTCCCATTGTCCAGTAGAGGAAACTTGTGCATCCAGGGCTGACCCCAGCAGGGGAGAAGGAGGGGAAGAGCAGAGCTTACGGGAACACAACCATCAGCATCACTGCAGCCTTGTTTTGCCTGCCTGGGTTTTTAAGCTCTATTTTTGCTTTACCTTTCCAATGATCAAAGCAAGGGCAGCCTCCCCCCACCCCCCCGCTCTCCTTGGTCTTCTCGTTGTGCTGATTTTGCATCGCCTTGACCCTGAGTCTGCCACCAGTCCCAAAGGCAAACCGCAGAACCTCCTACAGAGCAGAGACCTGTCAGCATCTCTCAAGAGCAGGGGCCAGGCAGACGGAGGTGCTGAGAAGGCATCATGGCAGCCAAAGCTGCCCCTGGGGAACAAGCCTGCCCCTGCGGGCTCCTTGGGTCCTGTCCAAGGGGGGAGCTGCTAAAATCAGGGCATTTGGTCCTTCCCCCACTTCCCTCCTGGAACCAGAGCAAGCCACAAACCAGCCAGTTTCCCCCAGTGCAGCCGGCTGTTTGAAGGGAAGGTCTGCTCCTCGCATGGCTAAAATTAACCTACTCCTTGCTGCACTGCTCCTCTGATCAAAGTCACAGCTTTGAAAAACTGCTCCAGGCTGCAGCCCCAGCAGTTGCTGCACGGATCCCCACGTGAAAAGCACTCCCTCCAGGAGGAGAAGGCAGGTCACAGCCTATCAGTCATACAACCTTGTGCCAGACATAGTGTCTGCGCCAGAGTCCTAAACAACAGCTCAGCTATCACTACTTGTCAGATGCCTCCAGCAAAACCCCAGACAGCTCCATGCAATTTTTCAGTAAGAGCAGAGCGAGCTCAGCAAGTCTCAGGAGGGGCTCAGCCCCCAAAGGATCCAGCTCTCACTCCAGCAGATAGTTTGGTATCGACACACGCTACTCTGGAAACCATTAAGCTGTCTCTTTCAAAGCAGAGCAGACCATACTTTCTTTTTTTTCCACCGCAAAGCAATACCAGTAAGTCATGGAGAGGATACACATTCAGCAGAAAGGATTCCAGGAGGTCATTTGCCAAAGGAAGGCGTCCCCAGCATTTGATCAAGGAGGAAGATGGGACGGCACAAAAGCACATCAGCAGCAGGTACAGCAAAAGAGAAGAAAGGAGAGCAGAGATGCAAGCAGAGGCCACAAGGGGCTGAGCCTTTAAAAGCACAGATAAGCAGTTTGATCTACAAACGAACCCGTGTGAACAGGCAACCTCATCAACAAGGCAACCCTGGGGACGTTCCACCTGTGCCTGAAGTCACAGGCTTCTGCTCTCCTCCGTGCGAGGGGAATGAGACATGTTCCCTGCCACTTCCCCAGCAGTCAGGATCGTCTCTCTTGTTTGTCACCTGGACTGGAACTGCAGATGGAAAACATTCACTCCAAGAGGGATCTGCTGCCTGGACACAGCTTTTCCTACATAGCTGACAGCTCAAAGGGGTTGGCAGAAGTGGGGGGTTTTCCCCCCTTTTGTTTTGCTCATTTTTAATGCTTTGTTTCCCTAGGATTGTTCCGTGAATGGTTGGGAATGAACGAGATCATGACAAAGACAAAACTCAAAGGTGAAATGCAAACAGTGGAAAGCAAGAGAAGCATTTGACAGCAGATTTTACTGAATTGAAGGAACAAAAGGTGGACACAAAGCCTGTTAGGGAGGGACTCATTATCCCTAATCCCCCCCATGAACTACAAGCAAGTTTCTCATTCACACATAGCTCCTAGAAGGGAAGGCTGGACTTAACATGCCTGCTACAACATAAATGACTAGGTTAAAGATCATTGGAGGCTGCCTTCCCACACCAGAAAGAAGCTATAAACACACAGGGCCCAGTCTGCTTCCCATTCTGCCTCCATTTTTACAGACTATTCCCCAGCTTTCTTGCACAGCCATGCTAAGACTGAACAGTAAAAATGTACCCAAGAATCTCCTCATTGCAGTGCAGAACAAGGGAGGAGGATCCAGCGTGCAATACAGAAGCAAAGCTGGTGGCCAACATATGCTCTGCAGGTCACAGCAGCACCCAGAGAGACCTCAGGCCAGCACTGAGCATGGCTGAGACCATGCAGTAACACCACTGAGGATTCCTGCCCTTCCCCTCTGGCTCCAAACAATCTTGCCGCACCCTGATAAGGTGAACAGCCATTAAAACTGGCCATGGCAGATCGAACCGGGGGACAGTCACATTAACGCAAGGAAAGCCTGTTAGGGAGGGACTCATTATCCCTAATCCCCCCCATGAACTACAAGCAAGTTTCTCATTCACACATAGCTCCTAGAAGGGAAGGCTGGACTTAACATGCCTGCTACAACATAAATGACTAGGTTAAAGATCATTGGAGGCTGCCTTCCCACACCAGAAAGAAGCTATAAACACACAGGGCCCAGTCTGCTTCCCATTCTGCCTCCATTTTTACAGACTATTCCCCAGCTTTCTTGCACAGCCATGCTAAGACTGAACAGTAAAAATGTACCCAAGAATCTCCTCATTGCAGTGCAGAACAAGGGAGGAGGATCCAGCGTGCAATACAGAAGCAAAGCTGGTGGCCAACATATGCTCTGCAGGTCACAGCAGCACCCAGAGAGACCTCAGGCCAGCACTGAGCATGGCTGAGACCATGCAGTAACACCACTGAGGATTCCTGCCCTTCCCCTCTGGCTCCAAACGATCTTGCCGCACCCTGATAAGGTGAACAGCCATTAAAACTGGCCATGGCAGATAGAACCGGGTGACAGTCACATTAACGCAAGGGGAAAAATAGGTCCTTTCTGATTAACACCTTGGATCCTGCCCCACAGGCTAAACCTACCTCCCCAGCACCCCATAGCCCTCAGCACAACCCTTGGTGAGGCAGGTCCACGCAGTGACATGCCTTGAGCTCACACGCTGTCAAACCAGACCTCGCACAGCTCAGCTACGGCGTGGGCTGAGGAGATCGGTGCTGTTAATACAGTCTGAGCAACAAGGAAGCCCAGGGACAGCGAGATAAGTGACTTGCCCTAGGCCCCACAGAAAGGCCAGTGGAAGAACAGGAATGGTACAGACATCTCAGCCTTTTGCCTGCAACCAGGAGGGAATACCACATCTTCAAAACATCACTGGTTGAAGCCAGACTGTGATAACAGGGTCAAAACACGTCTTTTCTGCATCTTCCTTTTCACCACCAGCTTCTGTCCACTTGTAACTTGCTTGATTTCCCATGCAGCGAGCACACACAGAGCCTCTGCATTCTGAGGGGAGGATTGCAGTCTGACATTTGCATCCCCAAGCATAACCAAACCGCATGTATTCTCCCTGGCTCCAAGATAAGCTGCCAACTCATTCCTCGCCTAGAAAATATGCGCTGTAGAGGAAAAAAAAAAAAAAAAAAAAAAAAAAAGAAAGAAGAAACAAGGGGATCCAAATTCTTCTCCTACCTCTGAAACTTTGTATTCGCAGGTCAGCTTCTTGCCCCTGACACCTTCATTCAGAGTGAGGATGAAGCCCATGTAATCTGCATATGCCTGCAAACACACCCGAGAGAGCAGGGCGTTAGTGAATGCCCACAGTCTGTTTGAAAAAGCAACATGGCATGGGAGCACTCCCGCACACCAAAGGAAGGTTTTCCAACACACAACACTGCTTTCTTGGAGACACCCAGGGTGCAGGGCTTGCTGTGAGGTTACTGCTATTTTTGGCAGACACCAGAGGCAGATGGCGATTGCACTAAGAACTCTGCATCGCTGTAAAAATTACAGAGAGAATACTAAAAATGCTTGCACTGCCCCCAAAATAATTCCCTGCCTCCTATCAGGTCAAATTCAAGCTCCTCAGCTTTGCAAAGTGTCAGTTGTGCCTAGACATCCTGCTCTGCACTGCTTCTCCCAGACCTGCGTCATTATTTCCCCTTTCCTCCTTCTACTCTTCTCCCATGCTCACGCATGATGGAGAAGTGGGAGACAGCCCAGGCTCCTCACCACTCTTCTCTTTAAATTCGCTGCTTTTGAAGCGTCGTACCCAGTGCAGCTCCACAGCTCTCAACCTGTAAAAACACCAGATGAGCACACTGCCACCTCTCCCTCCTGGGGCCCCTCTTGCACAGAAATCCTGACCAGGAGCAAGTCCTTAAACCCAGGAGACTTAACAAAGGAGGCTGCACTCAGAGGTTTGCTTGAGACCTGGCTATAACTTAAGCTTCTCTTAAGACATCACAGATCAGTCATCATGCTTGTTCTTAAGAGATGGGACAAGTCTGGGCTAACACACTAATCCCTCAAAGGCAGAGAGGGGAGAACCTGCCTGTTCCACCAGCTCCACACATACTGTAAACATAAATTATCCAGGAAATTGAAGGCCTTGGCTCTAGAGCCCTTTCCAGTACAGCAAGGTGGGAAGGCCCCAGAGATCAACCCAGTCTGGTGCTATTAGAAGGCCAGGCAGCAGGACCACGTTCAAGCCGAGTTCAAACAGCACTGGGTAAATCCAGTTTTGATATAATGTACAGGCTAGGTAGGAGGAGATAGTTACCAGCTTCTCATCTAGCTTGTTGGGAAGGAGCAGTAATAATTTTTAAGCATCTCTGGTCTCCCTCAACCTCTGGGCTCTCCCTGGCTCACTCCTTTGTGAGAGCATTTGACCGCCAGACTCCACACCTCACTGCCAAGTTGTTTTCCTACAAACAGGCAGTGACTCTTCTGCTTTAAAACACAAATCAATTAATTTCCCATTACTTGCCCAAACCTGCTCTACCTCATGGGCTGTTCCCAGACCAGACCTGGCTGCCGCTGAAGCGTAATAAGCACTTACCAGTTTTCCCTGACCCCAGAGCCGTACCTGAGAGCGCTTCCACTTGGCCATGTCAGAAACCATGTTTATCTCCTTTTTGGGGATCATGAAGCTCTGCTGGAGGGGAGGAGCCACCTCCTCAGAGGTGCCTGGGAGATGCAAAAAAGAGGTAAAATAGAGGCAGCAGGAGAAGAAGAATCTTCTGTCTTCCTTTCTTAGAAATCAACATTCATTTCTCAGGAGACAGAAGGCAAACAAATCCATCCCAGCTTGCACCATTATCTCACCAAGTCCTCCTCACCAAACAATATCCTCCTGATCCCTGGATAATATGCTCCCAAGGACACTGCAAGGCTTCAGAAAGCAGCATTATGTTTGTTTTCAGTACTAAAGATGTATTTCCCATCCGGACAGAGAGGCTGGTGCAGGAGATAACAAAGACAACATCCAGCTCATTTAATTGTTTCTGTCTAGTGAAGACAAGCCTCAGGTTGTGCTGAAGCACTGAACTCTCCTAACAAACTAACTGTGCCTTGTCTTTAGGGTGTTAAGCCTGAACTCCATTCCTCTAAAAAGGACAACTCCTGCAAAGACAAAGCAGGACCAATTCAGTAGATGGCAGTCCAGAGCCGCAGCCCCCAGTCCAGGCAGCGTGGGGGCTTGGAGGATCCCGGGACACAGCCTCTTCCAGGTGGAAGCTATGAAGATCATTTAATTTTAAAGCTCTCTCAGAGCCCAGGAGGTAATTTGCATTATGCTCCTGTAAGTGCGACTTTGAATAGCAAGAGGCAGCACAGCAGACTACTATTAAGGAAACTGGGTGCTAATGTGAATTTATGAATTCTGTTAGAGTCACCCAGTTCATCTCTTTAATCCTAGAAAATCTGAAGGCATTTGTTCAGCACCAGCCACCCTGGCAACACTTCAGCGACTGCTCTCCACGCTACAGCAAGTTCAGGCACTGACTTCCTAACATACGCCACCAAACTCCAACTCCTTAAAACATTATTAGCTGCATTTACAGAGAAAAATACTTCCCAGAAGCATCAGCAGCCTCTTCTGCAGCAGAGCAGTGCTGTCTAGCAGGCAGATCAGGGAAAAAGGAATCCAAAGTCCCAGGAACCACACAGAGTCTGCTATAGACTTGTCACATAACCTTAGAAGGTCCTTTAACTTCTCTGCCTTTCAAGTTCCCCCTCTACAGAACAAATGCAGCCTCATCACCTGCCTGGGGTGTTACAGCATTTGGTTCATTCTGCACATAAGTTACAGTAAAACTCCCAGGTACAAGCGTGAGGAACACCACGCGAGGAATTTAAATAAACAACACACATGCCGCTCTTCTGAAAATTCAGCACACAGCTCAAGATGACTAGCATCATAATGATGGAGCTCTTGTTTTAAAAGAACTTATGACAATAAAACAATGAAAAACTCCAGAGCAGTGGTGCAAAAAGGCAACCACTGACTTGACCATTAATACAGATGACAAAGGCCAGACATGTGGCCAGGGCAGTGTCCTGGACTGGGGGGATACAGGTGTCAGCCCAGCCTGCGTCTCATCACAGAACTTGTTTCATCTCTTTGCATTTGTTTCTCAACCATCACTTCTTCTAACACAGACTTTGCGGATTTCCTCTTGGGGAGGAGACCACAGATACTCAAGGAAGGAAACACAAGCAAGGGCTGCAGGAGTTACAATATTATAAAAAGAATACATAAGCAAAAACCCAAACCCAACGATGTGGTGGAGACAGGAGCAGAATGGTTGGTTTTACGATGAGAGGCAACTTGGACCAAGGAGACACTTTCAGTCTTCCTCTCGTGGCATGGGGAGGGGGAATCAAACTCAGGTGCGGGATGGACCTTCTACACCGGCAACCACCACCCACCTCGGCAACGGAGTCACAAAAACTGGGCTATGGATGACAGGAAGCCTCGACTCCAGCTGCTCCGGCAGCCTAAATCCCAATCGCCTTGTCCCTGGGACCCGCACGCCCTGCCAGCCCTCACAGAGCCGAGCTTTGGGTTGCAGATCCCTCGGGGAGCACCAGCCCAGCTCTCGCCGCCTCGGGGGGATCAGGCCCCAGCCGGGCCGGAGCTTACGGCTGCGCAGGCCTCAGCCCGGAGCGGACCCGGGTGGCTGCTGGGGCTCCCCGCCCCACCTGGCCGAGGGTCAGGGGGCTCCGGGGCGCCTTTGTAACC